CGATAATGTACCAGAATTATCTTGACAACAGGCTTTGTCAAAACCCTTACATGTTTGGGCCAAGTTAGATCCTCTCCATAGTAATACATGTAGAATTGTTTTTAAAAATGTTTTGTGAACAAGTTTTCTTGGTGGAATGTGATGCTGGGCCAGGATTGTCCATCCTTGATCTATGGGTTGAGGCTGGGCTCGCTGACCTGGAGCAGGCTTTGTCAAGGGCCTCACATTTCTGGGTCAAGTTAGATCTATTCAAGAGTTAATGCGCACACACAGGATTGTTTTTTTCGGGGGGTTATGAGTTTGGAATACCAGAGACTGTATCCCCAGTCGGTAGTGAGGGAGGCTGGTCAGCCCTTGGAGGTTCGGGTGCTGCATCTTCGTTCAGGACCACCTTCATCCTCGACAGTAGGGAAGATCAGAACAGGATCGGAACAAAAGAACAGGACTTCTGTTTTTTTCAGTATCTTAAAAACATTAATGGCTAAAGTCTGATAACACTGTATTCAGCACAAACTGGGCTACAATAATATGTGAGCAGCATGAATGTTCATGTTTGTGTTTTTGAGAAAACAACGTTTATGCGTGGAATAAAAAATAATTCAAATTAAGACAGCTTTGGTTACTCCATGTATAAAATAACAAAAGTAAACAACAAAGGATGAAAAATGGGAGTTATGATGGTCGTGGGGGTTATGAGGGGACGATGGTCCAAATTCATTCTCTGTTCTGAATACTCCCTTATAGAGAAAAAAAATTAAAAAAATAAAAAAATGGGAAGGGATCTGGATGGGTGGGGTCTTTTTGGGAGGACAAAGGTCATGCTTGAACTTCAGTGTTCGGTAGTGGATTGATAAATGGTTTTCGGTGCTTCTTATGCGGAGGATTGTAATTGACTGAGGTTTGAAATGGACAACAAACATTGGAAAAGTTGATAGAAAAGAAAAAAAGGAAAAAAATGGTTAACATGGTTCAGAGTGCAGAACCAAGATAGGGGGTTCACGGGGCATGGTTCACCTAGCTCAGGGGTAGGCAAGTTCGGTCCTAGAGAGCCGCAGTCCCTGCGGCTCTCTAGGACCGAACTTTCCTACCCCTGCTTATCCTAGAACTTCTTGCACTTGACAATTATCCCTGGTAAGGATGATGTCTGTTCAGTTGTTACATTAAATTTAGAGGGAAGGGCTGTTAGAAGCTTGCTGTACAGAAATGTGCATCTGCCAGTCTTGACTCTCAGCCCAAGTTGAGTTTATGGGGTCTATCCTTGGGGAATGAAGGACCTGGCAACTGGTTTCTCGTTGTTATACGGGTGCTTTGTTTGTCAATGGACTCCCTGTTTTAAGTCGGCAGAGGGGGAAATGACAGTCCCCTCAAATTGTGCTTGCTCCAAGGCTGACAAAGGGCCCTAAGAAGAGACCTTTCTCACAGCCTTTTCTTGAGTGACCTGGATACCTAGCGGTGTTAACGAAAAGTTGCTTTGGGGAGCGGTAAGTTTCCAGCCCCCCAGGTCCACTTGGACAGCATGCAGGGACGGTGGGCTGGGGCTAACGGGCCTTAATTGGAGCCCAGTCTTTTACAGTTGATTAGCACCTCTCACACAACAGCACATTTTGCACCCAAAACCCTTGCACTCATCTTGATTTTTTGGTGTAGTGGTAAAAATCATGAAGGCCAGTATGAAAATTCTCAGATTAGAAGTTAACACATCCGGTGGTTGTCCCCACAGGAGATGATGTTGGTCCGGTTCGTCTTGACTTTTAGGGGGAAGGGCTTTGCATCTGGCAGTTTCAACTCCTGACCCCCAAGCTAGAGATATTCCCCTTCGACCTAAAAAAAAAAAAAATTTTGGCAAGCAAGGGAAATTTGAGAAAAAGGAAGAGCAGTTTAACTCCGTCTAGATCCAAACAATGGGATTGTGGATCTGGTTTAGATCGAAATAGTAATTCACTATAAAACACATGCCTAAGATTGATCACCCAAGGTGGCCTGCCCCAGAGGAGGGTCTGTAGTGTTTAAGGAGCCAGAACACCTGATGATCCTGATGTACACTTCTGAGGATATGTCTTAAATATTCCCCCAGGCCGATGATATAAGTCTTAATTCTAATTTTAAGAGGTCTTAAATTTGGGGACGGAAAGGCAAGAATCACGATATAGCTTAATGTGATGATTAAACTTCAAAAGGCTGTAAATTTCATTGAATAAATATGGGCGCTGAAGGGAACCGACTGTCTCCAAAAATGTTTCAATGGTATTTTAATTTCATCTTTCCTATAATGCTTGATAAAACAGTGTTTACGAGTGCAGAGCTGCTTTGTGTACAGCCGTTACCGGGAAACCCACTATATTTCTGCTTTGTTGAAAAGCCCCAACTACTGGCAGAAAAAAAGAACTGATCATTATACAGATCAGTGATTTGCATTTCCAATAAGCTGGTCTGCTGTTTTAGTTAAAACTAATGTGAAAATCGACCCATGTTTTTACATAGCAAACACGCAGTATTGTAAATGTGATAGAAGCTCATGTGCCTTCTAAAAATCTAAACAATTAACACACTTTATATATTTTAAATTAATATTGTGATTTATATGTTTGACTCATCCCTTTTCTTTTAGATGCTCAAATGTGATGTTTATCATTTATAAGATTTTTTTGTGAAAACCTGTATCTGAACTGTAAATCATGTAATTTTACATTTAATATGTTACCAAACAGAAAGAAAGAACTTTAACAAGTCTCCATCGCTCCATGTAAGTGATTACCAATGGTGGCATGTGTGCCATTAGTTGGTGATTTCTGCTTTATGATCTGCTGTAGAGATAGTCAGAGCAACGGTACCTTGATAAAATATTGTAGTGTATGCAGACAATCACAACACGTTGTTTGTTGAAGATTTTAATATATCAACTGAACATGGAATTCCCAGTTTGCTTTCACTCTGCAGCAGTGTTTCCCAAACTGGGGGCGGAGTTATAAAAAAGGGATCATGGCAAGGCTAGAGGATAGTTTATAGACAGCAGGTGATATTAAATAAATCTTCAGGGTGATACAAGACGCCACAGTGAAATTGTCCCACTTAAGTAAATAATTAAACAAAAATATTAATTTGACATTGTATTACCTCAAGATGACTCACAGTACTCTCTTGTGCAGTCTGTTTTAAGTTGTAGCGGTTGTTTTCGTCGAATAACAGCCTGCTGGATGGCATGATTGAAGAACCAGAATTGAGTATTGCAGGGAGCCATGTGAAAATATGAATGAAAGATGCATGTGTCACAGTTGCTTGCAGGCAAGAAGGTGAAGACAGAAGAATAAATTCCAACATCCAACATTTAATGAACAATCTAAAAAGGCAGGCAGACAGACAGAAGGTACAAAACCAACCTAGCATAACGGTGACTTGACCATGACTGAACTTGAGGGAAGAGTATATAAAGGCAACACAAACAAGATGATAAATCAAACACAGCTGGAGACTAATGATTACAAATGAGGAGTGGGAAATCAAACAAAGGAAACGGGAACTAATGACCAACATATACTAAAAGTCTGTGAATGTCAAATCTAAAGTCCATGAACAAAACTGACAAACAACTGTGACAGCATGGTCTTGCACTAAGCATGGATAAGTTTGTGAAAGGATTGCCAGTGCCAGGTAAACATAAAACAGATGATGAATCTACTTTAAATGTCGCAGCTACCAAAACAACGCGTCTAAACCAGACATGAGAAGCATGACGTGACAAAAGCAAATAGAGCCCATTAAAATCTGATTCTGTCTACTCTGCCACTACAAATTTCCGACAGTAAACTGATGGCCTGTTTTATTTCTGATGTACTCCAAACAGTCACACAACTTCTGAAACAAAGGACAAATGGATTTGCAACATTTGTGTTGAGACGTCCAGTGTAGACAGCATCATCAAGCATTTGGAGCATGGTGCGAAAACCATCACATCCGGTGTAGACAGTGTTTTAAAAACAAGAAAATATGAATTCACCAGTACATCAGTAGGGAATGAAGAGAGACCACAGTGTGTTGTGTGCCTCGGAATATTAGCTTCTGACAGCATGAAGCCAAACAAGTTAAGAGTCAGAAGCAAAGATGAGAAGTTGTAGTATTATAGTAATTACAGTGCTTCAAATAAAGTCTTATAGGATTTTGCAACAAACAACAAACACTATAGTGTGACAAAAGAGGCACACACAATGTAAGGATGGCTATAAGTGATCAGATCACAAGTGATCACAAATCATACTCTATTGGAAGTCCAAAATAATTGCCGATATGTTAAAGGGGTCATAAAACCGAAAATCAATTTTTTTTTTGACATTTACACATATAAAAGGTTGTTCTAAAAAAAAAATCATGCCTCAACGCTAACGCACCAGTTTGAAAGTTGTTTTCCACCCTTTTAAAACACTAGGATTTATTCTCATGACCTTGTGGTATCTCAAACGTGTATATGTAAAGGAAGACATCCAGAAGACTTCTTCACTGCAGTCGAACCTCTTTCCTTGAAGTTCTTGATGGTCCCAAAATGGTTCTTTCAGGTGCAATATTCTTTGTAGCAATTTCCTTGCATGTGAGGCCATTTTGATGCAAAGCGATGATGGCTGCATGTGTTTCTTTGGAGGTAACCATTGCTAACGAACACAATGATTGGAAGCGCTTCTTCCCTCCTTTTATAGCAACGAGTCTGCTCTTACAATCTCATTATTATGATAGTGATTTAACATGACTAGTACTCATTCACACTTTCACATGTGCTGCTGATATGATTAGTCAATTAATGTTAGCTGGTCATTGTGTCAGGATCAAAAAACAGTCAAATTTGTTTTTGTTTTTTTTGTGAAAAGTTAATTTTTTGGCCAATTAAGCTTTCAGAAATGATTTAAAAAGCATCTGATAACTCTGCACAATAATCTAGAAACAATGTGAATGATCACCACAACAGCTTAAGCAGCAAACTTTGCAAAACACAAAATTTATGTCAACTTTTGGCCATGACTGTATGCATGGAATACCCGGATGACTTACTATATTTGCCAGAATCTGCTAAATATAACTCAAGTACACTGAAATCAGTACTGAAACTGTGTTCAGAATGGCATACTACCATACAACTCTTACTATATTGCAGTAAGCTATTGTCACAGAATGATGTCGAAGATAAACTCACGCACAAAGAAGATGAAGGTAATTAGTCTTTTAATAAATCCACAAGAGAGTAATTCCACAGACAGGTAGGTGACACACATAGAACATTCAATACCGGATGAGGGAACACTGACCAGACTAGAACTTAAATACAAAGGCAAATGAGGATGATTAACGACACACACCTGAACCAAATGACTGGTCTAGGTCAGTGGTTCCCAACCCTGGTCCTGGAGGCACCCCAACACTGCACATTTGTACAGTGTTGGGGTGCCTCCAGGACCAGGGTTGGGAGCCACTGGTCTAGGTCACAGAACACATGAGGAACAAAGACACAATCAAAAAGTATATGCGTATACTGTGAATAGTATGTGAATTTTATGTATGCATGGAATGCCCGGATTACCTGCTACATTTGCTGAAATTTGATGTATGCATCTGAAGACACTGCATGGGATACTGTTTCTCAGAACGCAACGCGCTCCATGTGACGTTTCATTTTTAAACGGGTGAGTTAACTGGAGGTTGGGAATAGTAATTATAAATGTAACACTTTTATATGTACGTATATACATGTAAAGTACAAACTTTCGCTATGTATCTAAAAATGATATCGTTATTAGGATATAAATTGTACTTGAATCTCTATGGCAGTGGTCAGCAACAGGCGGCCCGCGGGCCAAAACTGGCCCGCCAGCAATAATATCTGGCCCGCGCCCGCAGCCAGATTATTTTGATAGCGGCTGGTTCTAAAATAGATCTGCCATGACAGCAACAGCAACAATCCAAAAACAGGATTTTTTAAAAGTCGGAGCGTGGTTTTCACTCGCTCCACCACCGCTCCATCACGAGTACAATTCATGCCAACAGCCCGTAATATAACTGCATGTTTGGCAAGAATTCACATGTTAAACATATTTAGCCAGCTTGATAGAGAAGGATCACTCAAATCAGAAAGAACGTGAAGCTATGATGACGGCAATGGACATGAGCGGGAAGTTATAGTTCTCAAGGAATTAGTTTGTTCCTTCTAGATATAGATATTTTCAGCTGAAAGCATGATTTAAACAAGTACTACAACACATTCACACGCAATCGCTCTCTCAATAATGCATTCAAACAAATGTAATCTTACAGTGCTACTTCATCTGTATCCAATTTCGAATGAGCAGAAATCTGTAAGAAATGCATCGATCCGTAGGTAAAACGACTGACGAAAACGTACTGTTATTTTCATCACAAACAAAATTTGCACCGCAAAAAGCAGCAATTATACCTTTTAATGCTGACAACCATGTTATTAGCTTGTCATGTGGTAGTTAAAAAGTTTGAAAACTAGTGTTCTAATAAACCACTTTGAAACTCTGCTGTTATTTTATTTTTTAATATACATTATGTACAGAACTGTGATATTTCAAACATACTGAAATACTTTAGCCGCAGGGCGGTGTTTCTGCGAGGAGTGGAGCGGGAGCGGGAAATGGTGAACCCGGAGCGGAGTGATTATTAAATGCTCGGAGCGTGGAGGGGAAATTGTTGACGCTCCACTCCGCTCACATACTCTGCCGGACGCCGCCACACAAATATGGCTTTTTGTTAATGACTGTCCTCCTACAGGATTTAACACAGAGTTACAGCTCACAAACAGTTACAAAAGACAGTGTAACAGTCTATCACAGGCAATTGTAGTTGCATTTTTCATCAATTAATTTCTTAAATTATCCTTTAACTATATTCTGGCCCACCATCTAGTGGCGAAATATTTTTTTGGCCCAATGCCAAATTTACTTGCCGACCCCTGCTCCATGGCATGTTTCTAGTCAAGTCAAATTATGTCAGCTTTAAATCTATAGCACTTTATACAGTACAGATTGTTTCAAATATATTAAATCATAATAATATTGCAGTAATATAATATATAAATAACAAATAAAAAAATATTTCAGTTATGCAAACAGAATTCAATTCTGCTTTAAAGCAGCTCTAAAAAGAACCAGAGTTCTAAGTACAAATAGACCAATTTGTTGGTAGAGGCTATTTACATTAACTCCACCCACCAATGCCGGGCTGCTGTAAACAGCACTGCAAAAGACACATATTTTACTGCAGTATCAATGGCACAGTGAGTAAAATGCGAGCTGTTTGCTTTTGACGCGATCGACCCGAGTTCTAGTCCGCCTTTTGTCAAACGTGCTTCTCCTTTTCCCATCACATATCAGATCAGAAAGGCATTTATTTTCAATAAAAATAAAGTAAATATTTGAAAAGTGGAAATAAAACGCCTCATTAATAATACATGTTATTAGGCATGTTTAGCTGTCGGTGTAGGGAGGTTTTTGTCCCAATAAATTGGCATTCATCTAATAAAATTTATAAGCATTATAATTTACACTCAATATGTTATTGCATTCTGTTTTATAATGTACTACAGTACTGAAGTATAAATATCTGCCACCTAACTACTATTTACACACCTGTTGCTAAAGAAAATGCTGCTATTTTAGTGTAAACAGAATTTATTTGCACTTAGTGTAACTAGAATATATCGCTTCTTCAACTTAGTGTAACTTCCAAAAATACCATCATTCAGTTAAAGAGCTCAGTGTTGATTCAGTTCTTTTCAATATGTAGAGTTCATCATCAATTATGAAATGAGTTCAATTGGGCAATATAATTGTTTACTAGTATGAACTGTTATATGAACTATTATAGATCAGTGGTATGAACCCTTATTAACAAGCCTTTGTAAAAAGAACGGTTAGCACATTTATTTGTAAGGTAACATCCTCGACAGCTGTGCTGAATTAATGTTCAGTCCTTGTCATGTGACAGCACAGCATAGTACTCTAAAACATTTGTTGCTTATTGTGTACTGTTTCACACACTATTCTTTCAAAATAGAATGCAGTATGCACTGTGTACTGGGCAGTAAGCAAGTATGCCATTTCGAGCACAGCCTGGATCTTTGTTGAGAACCCCTGATCTAGATTCATAAGTTTGGGGTAGGACTACCTGTTTGGCTTTATAATGGCAGACAGGGGGACTGTTGAAAACTTGTTTGAAAACAGTGTCTAATTTGCAGTTCTGTTTGGTGACTCTAGTGGTGCAGAAATTATACACTTCAACGCCACATCATCAGAAATCTTATTCAGGCCAAACAGTTCAACGTAATTGTCAGTATTAGATAACCAAATGATCAGTTTCTGCTTCTTACATG